TTAGGAATGGGATGTCACTTACAGTAAGTTCATATGCGAGTAAAGGCAGGTGAATGAATACTTTTGGCAATATAGTGTATATTGATCTAGAGTCTTGAAATCAGTCTCACACTACTTGTACTGTTCTGTTCCATCTTCTTTCTGCTAGCAGTGATGTGCAGGAGATAAGAGCGGAGGAGAAAGATAGAAGCAAACAGGCCCATCAAGATGATACCACTTGGAAGTGGCTTGGAATGAATGCAACAGAGGTAGGACAGGGAGTGGCAATGGGAACAACAACATTGTTTTGTGGTAACTGAGGAAGAAATGGGCAGCACTTTAATAGAGAAAGGGTCAGTAGTGTCTTCTATTTCTAATTGTTCCATTCTTTTCAATTGGCTTTTGTACAGATAGAACTTTTAAAAAAGGTTTAGCAATATAAAAGCTATAATTTGGCTAAAGATAAGTTTTAGATAGTGTGTCATCAAGTTGTTTTTGACCTCTAGTAACCATATAGATTTTCATCATCATGAGCTAATGCTACTGATATTTCAGGTCATCCAATGTTGCGCTCATCCTTACAGTAACTGAATTCATCCAAGTTGCTGCCGGTCATCATCTTCTCTGTCCTTCCACCTTTCCAACATTAGAGCCTTTTCCAAGGAGCTTGTTGTTGTTGTTGTTGTTGTTGTTGTTGTTGTTGTTGTAAGACAATATCTTTATTATATGATTTTCTTAAATTCTATTCCAAAGTATTATTTTAGATTCAAATAGTTTTTCCAAACAATCAGTTTAGCAGAACTAATTTCCTGCTACCGGTAGTTGGCCCAGACAACTTGAAAGCAGAAGTGTCGGGTTTTTTCTCTTTCTTGGGTAAAATTGCAATTTTTTTTCAACACAGACGTCAGAGTATTGGGTAAGGACGGCTGAAAAAGGGAAAGCAACCCGCAGCTCAGATACGATCAAGGGTGTTAAGATGAACGATTACTAGAAAAATATGTATGCCAAATATGTATGTATATTGGGTGGAATCCATAGCGAGCAAACAGTACCGTCTTAGGCACCCTTACGTGAGAGTAAGAGCAAGCGAAGGCAGCAGCGTTCCACTTCTTTTCTACAGCCCCGCACCTCCACCGAAAGGAAAACAAAGCTCGCGAGACTTGTATATAAGGCCCGAGAAGGGGACTGACACCTTCGCAGACCATCGGTTGCAAAGGGCCATTCAAGCAAAGATTGTTAATTGGTGACTTATGCGGCTCGTCTTGGCCAATGGTAGTGCGAGTAAGTGAAGGGAGGCGGGTACTCCCAGCCTAGCCGGGGAGGCTCGTGGTGCCTGAAGTCAACTATTGCCCTGGGAGGGGTTTTTTTCTCCTGCGCGGCATCCAGAAGGCAGCTTCTCTCTCTCGGGGTGACGGCGGCGTTAGCGGCGAGCGTGGGGGGTTCCGTCGCAACTGCGCACGCTGGAAGTCCCCGTGCAGGAGCGGCGATTCCGCGGTCCAAGGTGAGCATCGTGAAGGAGAGGACGGACTAGCGTCCCGATGTAGCTGTTTCTACTCCGGGCTGTGATCTGGGGTGGGGTGGGTGGGTGGGAGGAAGAGACGCATTCACCTGAGAGAGCGAGGGGAAAGAGATGCTACCTACCGAGGCCTTGGAATGATTTGGCGGAGGTCGGAGAGAAGCTTGCAGGGCATCTGCCCCGAATGACAGCCTCGGGTGATGGTTGCAACCGGGGCGGGCGGGCGGCAGATAGGAGGGACGGAGAGAAAGAGGGGCGGAGGAGGGGGCTACAGGCCGGGTGGTATTCCCGGCCGCCGCAGCCTCTTCGGGCTCGCCGTCAGAACGTCCGCGGGTCGGCTTTTGGAGTAAATGGACCGCTCACTGCGGCAGCTCGTTTTTTTTAAAAAAAAATTATTATTATTATTTCTTTCACGCGTTCGGATACATACAGGTAGGAAAGAGAAGAGGGCAGAAAGAAAGTGGTGGGAGGACGGTCGGAGGTTAGGAGGGGGAGCTGCTGCCTGTGCTGGCCGGTGAGGGCGCGCGGGAAACTCGCGTGTCGTGGGACTGCTGTCCTCCCGGAGCTGTGCCTCGGAGAGAAGGCGGACGGGCGCCGAGCCTGCCTTGTGTCGTCCGACTTTGGGATATGTGGGGACTTCACTCCCCCTCGCTCCCAAAGGTGGGTGGGATTGGGGAGATATTTTCGTGGCACCGCGCGAGTGTTTGTGTGTGTAGGCTGGGAAACGGCAGTCTGTCTGTGGGCTGTGACGCCCTTCCCTTTTCCTCACGAGCAGGTTTAGGAGAGGGTGTTGCTGTGGATCTGTGTAAAATTTGTGGAAAGGGTGGAAAACCGAGATGGATTTAGACGCAAAAAAAGCGGCTCTAAGAAGTTCTTGGGGACGGAAAGACGCGAAGAAATAGGTGTGGTTGAGAGAGTCACTTTCTGTAAGTGTAAGAAGAAAAAAACTTCAAATCAGTATAGAGTAAAACCATTTAATATAAAAATATTTGAGCGTTATGTGCCCAGGATTTATTTTGGATTATTTTTGCTCCTCTGCATTTTCATCTAAAAGTAGCTAATAGGATTTATTTAAAACAATACTTAAGCTATTCATTACTTTTCCTGATTACACTGTCTGAAAATGTTAGTTGTCCATCTCCTTGATGTTCTTGCAGTTCTGTGTTAAAGCTATCTATTCCTTGCATTTATATTTTTCCCCCAGAGTTATCTTGGGTAATTAGCTCACTTACCCAGTAAATTTTGTAATTCCCCAATCCTAATTGACCACATTGGCACTTTTTAAAATAATTATGTCTGTATAATTTTTCTAGTGCCTATGTTATATTAATTTTGTTTGTAGGAGTATGTAACTTATTAAATTAGACCACAACTTTATATAGGTATTGTTTTTAATAATAGTAAACAATTTGAATAGCAATGTGGTCTCTTTGTCAAAGGCTAGTATTCCTAAGCATTTAGTGATGTCACAAAAATTTCAAAACTAGGTCATTTGTGTGATATTGTGAAGTGCACAATGTCACTTGCTCCTCTATTTCCCTTTAAATACCATATCTTTTTATTTATATACACAGAGAGACACTTTTACCTGCAGTGCATTCAGAAAGTATTCAGACCACCTTCACTTTTGTCAATTTTGTTGTGCTGCAGCCTGATTCTATAGTTGTTGAAATTGATTTTTTCCTCATTAATCTACACTCACTACCCCATAATAACAAAGTGAAAACAGAATCTTAGAAATGTCTGCAAATTTATTAAAAAGAAAAAAATTAAATTTCACATTGGCATACGTATTCAGACCCTTCATTCAGTACTTTGTTGAAGCACCTTTGGCACCTTTTTTGGGTATGACACAACAAGCTTTGCACACCTGGATTGGGGGAATTTTCTGCCATTCTTCTCTGTAAATCCTCTCAAGCTCAGTCAGGTTTGATGGCGACCATTGCTAGACAACCATTTTCAGGTCCCTCCCGAGAGGTTCAATAGGGTTCAAGTCAGGGCTCTGGCTGGGCCATTCCAGGACATCCACAGAGTTGTCCCTAAGCCACTCCTGTGTTCTCTTGGCTGTGTGTTTAGGATTGTTGTCATGTTGGAAAGTCTGAGGTCTTGAGCGCTGTGGAACAAGTTTTTATTGAGGATATATCCTTGTACTTTGCCCCATTCAATTTTCCCTCAATCCTGACCAGTCTCCCAGTTCCTGCTATTGAAACACTCCCCACCCCCAATAACATGATGCTGCCACCACCATGCTTCACTGTTGGGATGATGTTGGGCAGATTATGAACAGTGTCTGGTTTCCTTCAGACATAATGTTTAAAATTGAGACAAAACTGTTCAATCTTGCTTTTATGAAACCAGAGAATCTTGTTCCTCACTGTCTAAAAGTCCTTTGGATGCTTTTTTGCAAACGCCAAGTGGGCTTTCATGTATTTTGCACTGAGAAGAGGCTTCTATCTAGCCACTCTGCCATAAAGCCCAGATTGGTGGAGAGCTACAGTGATGGTTGTCCTTCTAGATCTCTGTCCCATCTCCACATAGGATCTCTGGAGCTCAGTTAGAGTGACCATTGGGTTCTTGGTCATCTCTCTTACTTACTATTCGAGAATTATGGAGGGCACTGTGCTCTTAGGAACTTTCAGTGCAGCAGAAATTTTATTGTAGCCTTCCCCAGATCTATGCTTTGCAATAATCCTGTCTCTGAGCTCTGTAAGTATTTCCTTTGACCTCATGTCTTTTGCACTGCTACAGTATGCATGATCAGCTGTGAGTCCTTCTATAGAGAGGAATTTACCACGTCTATTCTAATCAAGATGTAAAAACATTTCACAATGATCAAAAGTAGTGGGAGGCACCTGAGCTAAATTTCATGCGTTGTTGCGAAGCGTCTGAATACTTATGCCAATGTCAACTTTTTTTCTTTTTAATAAATTTACAGACATTTATAAAATTCTGTTTTCACTTTGTTATTGTGGGGCAGTGAGTGTAGATTAATGAATTTCAACAACAATAGAACCAGAACAGGCTGCAACATACCAAACTTGACAACAAAAGTAAAGGGGGGTCCAAATACTTTCTGAATGCACTATATATAAAATAGTTCCTAATTCCTATATTGTATTAACTTTCTTGTAGGAGTTTGCAGTTTATTAAACTATAAATTTATTCTGACATTATATATAACAGACAGACACACACATACCTATGGATAAAGATAAGGTTGTAATTCACATGAGCACTGTCAGGTTTTTAAAAGACACTTTAAAGACAAGTTTTTTAAAACAATACAGGCTATATATTGATATGTAAATAGAGGAAAGCCACCAGAATAGGGGTTGTTTGAATTTGAGAATCCTACACATTCCTCTAGTAAAGATATAACCACTGAAAGCTCCATCAGAATGATTTGTCTTGCAGTAAGAATATTAAATGCAAGCCTCTGTTACATTGTTCTTGTGCTACACTTTCCATTCCACTAAAATGCTACTTTAGATGGCAGTTCTAAACTTTATTTGGACCCTATTGAATATAGGAGTGTTACTAAATTATCCTGAATAATTGGATCTTGGTTACATAAAAACACTTGTGCATTATAGGTATTTGGAAAGTAATAGGATATTTATAATAGGATAAGATAAGACAATCTTTATTGTCATTTTTTTCTGTGAACACACTGGCACACATTTATAAAATGAAATTCTGACGCCTGCTCTCAAAAAATATGTTATTTTTTTTGTGGGGGGGATTTGTAGGAAGAGGGAGAAAAGCTTAAATACATGAAAGACAAACTTCAGCATTACTGACCTTGTAAGAGGACAACTATAGTGGTAAAAAAATCAGAATTCTGGTAGCACCTTTTTTGAGTAACAAGTTTTGTTAAAAGTCATATTGAATAGATGGAATTGCAGTTCTTGAAAGCATATGTTTTTCAATAAAATTTGGTAATCAGAAAAGTTGCTACCAGACTCCTTCAGATTTTTTTCAACACTATTAACACCATTGAATTAAAATATTATGCCTCTCTCTATGTGGCTAGATATGTATCTATGGAAAAACATATTCCTTTCCCTGTAAATATTACAGTAAGCATTTTAAAACAGATACTTTAAAAATAGTGTTTGCTTAACAACTCCCTGCATGTCTGCTGTATGTACACATTTAATTATATTTAAGGGACAAATAAAATAACTAGAGAAATTTTAAAACAAAACAAAAATACAATTACTATAAATCACCCAATTGAATAGTGTGAGTAAAATCTAGTTGGAGGAAAAAAACAGCTCATCCTTTATTTTGCCAACCATAAAAGTAATAGTTATGCCACAATCAGTACTAGATTTGCAGTCTCTATTGGTCATAGACATTTATTTAATGGTTTAATAATCTTGATAGTTTATTTTCCCTGGAACTGGTATGTATTTTATTCAATTTTATTGTCAGTTTTTGACATACGCAAACTCACATTATTTGCAGATTATTTATTATTTTCTATTTAAGGATTTCGAAGTACAAAAACAAATGGACAGAGCAACTTAAGTATGAATCATTCTGGCATAAATGATGTTACCAGTGTTAGAACTAAATTGGCTTGTTTTTCCTCATTTTGTTTCCTTTTAGTTCTTTGCTTATTAAAAAAGGCAGTTTTCAAACTTGTAAATGTAATTAGAACTGAAAGAGGTTGCAGGCACAGCCTAGAGAATTTTGAAGAAATTGATGGTAGAAAAATGGCTGTTCAAGTACTGAAAGTGACTTGGCCCATGCTCTTCTCCATCTGCAACTCCACAGTGGAACTGCTCCATGGAGGAACTAGGATTTCCAGAAGAAAACCATCTTGATTTGTTGGTGGGATGGGTGATGCCTTTCAAAATTCTGAAGGGTCCTTGGTTCTCTCTGAGCTTGCTTCTTTTCTTGAAGATTTCATTACCAAAACTAGGTAACATAATCAGTGCTGCATGTCAATGAGGCAGGAGAGCAGCAAGGACCTCTTTTCTCAATCCTGAGCTATAAATATTTTGCTTTATTGGTTTCAAAATTCTAGCTCCTAATGATAGTTAAGCTAGTTGTTTTAACTATCAATTCCATTTTTTCCATTTAAATTATTTCTAGAACTTCTGTATTAATGCAGAAATAGTTTTATGAAGCAACAAAAATACAGATCTGGGAAAACCACCATAAAATCAATTAAAATTTTCTGGGGAAAGCTCCCAGTAGTGAAAAGCTCCTAGTAGAACATAATTGTGCTAAGCCTTATTAGGGTTATACATTTCATTAATGTGATGGTACCCACTGATTCACCTTCATGGTGGATAAGTGTAAGACTGCAAAGAATCATCCCTAGTTTGTGAGAAATAGCATGTTTTTAAAACTGGTGAGGTTATTTTTTTTACTGTAGTGTCATAAACAGTGATGTTGTTAATATATGCCCCTTGGAACCACATGGCATTTCTTTTTTGTTACTGTTACTGACAAATTCTGTTTTTGTTTGGCAAAAATGATACATTTTACTATGCTTCTGTACAATCACATAACAGAATGACTAGACCACATCTGTTGGTAATTACAATAATAAACACCTTCTTTAAACAAAGTAATGTCAATATGGATGAATTGCAGTTGGCTTAGAATTGCTGAGGAGATTCATAACAGAAAACAGATATTTGAATAAGCTAACTGCTCATTACATAGATAGGTTTTATTCATGGAATATATCAATATATCTGGAGTTTGTTTATCTCTTTTTCCTCAAGCTTCTAAAATTAGACTACAAGTTATTCTTAGACCTTTCCTAACCTTTTTTGCATTTGGCTGGGTCCTTATTTTTATGTTTATTTTTTGTAGGCTATACTCCACAGGGAATTGGACTAGATGATTTGCAGATTGGATCCTGATTAATTAGCTAAATGAAATGGGAGCAAAATGCAATGTAAATATTATTCTATTAACTTCAATAAGAGCTAACTTTAATTATTTTTGCACCGAGTCAGTCTAATTTTGTTTTCTGAAATTCTTCTTTCCTTTAGGAATGTTTCCAAATTTTCTATATTAGCACAAAAAGGGAAATATGTTATGGATATCTTCCTGTAACATCACTAACGTCATTTCATATGTGTGAGTGTGTGTGTGTGTTTGTGTTTGTATGTGTTGTGTTTTGTGTCTGTGTGTGTGTGTACCAATGGGCAGACGCCACTGTGGTTTTTCCAAAACTGGCCTACCTGTGGTACTCTGTGTCCTCCCTTTGTACTCTTGCTATTTGAAAGACTTTAAAATGACTTAAGAAGATAGCAAGGGCAGTTTCTACTCCCACAATTGATTTCTCATCCACAGAAATAAAATGAAAGCTAGGAGTTTCTGTCCTTCCCCTCTCAGCCTTCTGAACCTGCTGTATGTCTGCTATAAGTACAACATAAACCATTTGTAATCAGAGCAGCCTGTCTGGATGGCAGGAAATGATAATTCATGGCCCTTCTCAGTCTTTTCAACAGGTCTAAAAGAAATGAGTGGGTAGGAGAAATTTGACTGGCTGAATAAAGACTCTTCTTCCATATCAGGATATGGCAATGTGACTTCATGAAAAATAGAAATGAAACTGAGAGCTTGCAAAGCTAGTGAAAAAGTTAAAAGAAAGCTTGAATTGGTTGTATCTCATCTATAGAAGGACTGTCCTCTAGGAAGGAATAGAAGCCATCTGAGTTTTTCAAGCGTTCTTCAAATGAATCATTTACTTGGGATAGGGGGTAGGGAATGTTTCCCCCCCACCCCAAAGTGCAGAATAGTGTAACATAGGAGCCTTAAGCAATAGGTTGGGAACCATGTCATGAGGAAGGCATGTACATTTGTGTTTACTAAAGCACTCCATTATCACTTCAATGCACTTGGGCAGAAATATGTTGGTTACTTTACCTGTACTGGACTCTCATGTTCATTTTATTTTTCATGACTGTTTCCCCATAACCCTATTTAAAATTGAAATTAGAAATCTATTATAAGGTCTCAACATTGTGTGGTTATATACCAAGCTTTGTTCTGAATATATGGCAAAATGCTAAAGCATCACAGTCATACTTACATGAACATTCCAACAATGATTTAGACTGCAAAAGTGTGAATGTTTACAAAATAATGAAATTCACAGATTTAGATACTATCCCTTTCTGAGTAAAATGCAAGTGTTCAAAGTGTTTTATTTACTTTGCCATATTAAAATCTAAAACTTAACATTTAGAAATAATTCAGACCCTTAGGGAAATGGGGGGAAAGGCAGTCTTGAGGATAAGAGACAATATTATACGTGCGGATACCCAAGTGATGCTAAGATTATATCATGGGACATAGGTTCTGGGGAGATTCCCCCCAAAAGTGTTTCTGTTGATTCTCCTTGCACATTTAAAAACACCAAACCAACCTTTAAAAAAATCTTGTGAGTAAGCTGGTCCAATCAGATGTTGCATCAAGTGATCATGGAGACTTGCCTGTTAAAATGTAGCTGTGCATCATACAGTTAACAAAAAAAACCCTCTTTTGTTATGCTAATAGCAAGCTGGCCCAATCAGATGCTGCCTCTGAACATAAAGCCAATGTGAGCTTTATGGCAAAAGGGACTGAGACTCAATGCCCTCCAGTCTCCAGGAGAAGGAAGAGAAGACTATAGTGAGGATTATAACTTTAATAGATACTACTGCCATTTATTATGGGCCTGCCAACATATACTGATATGAGCAATTGGGTAAATTTTTGGCAGGACCAAGAATCCAAATATGTGATTATTCAGAGTTTTGCCTCTTAAAAGTAATATACTGAATTTGATTTACTATTGATGCCTCATGTACGGCCTCATTCTGAAATTACTGTTGTTTGTTCACAGAACATAACAGATTGAACAGATTAAAGAACTCCTTTCTACAACAACAAAATCTTCATAATACAATGTCTTTGCCAGCTTTACAATGATTAGGAATGACTGGGCAACTATCTACTACTGGCTAAGCAACATTCATTGGAATATCTGGTCTTTAAGCCACAAAATTTGAATGTGGAACCTTGGTCAAATCTAAACAGTGTGATGTTGAAATGAGATGAGGCTCCGAAATGGAACTGTGGCCACTGCATTGATTTTCATCACATCTTTCCTCAGTTTATCATGGTATACAGCATGGCAGAATGGAAAAGGTAAGTCATGTCTTTTATGAAAAGAGAGGGGGGAAGGGAAACCAGTATAAATACATTTGAAAAGTTCCTCTTAGATGTTTAGATTAAAAGAAGGACCATAATGACATTTTTTTTCAGAGAACAGGGCTACTTAAAGTTCAGGCTCATCAGAAAATACAGTAAAGGTACAGTACTTGCTTGGATCTAAAAAAATGAAATCTAAAATGTAAATTTAGAAGGAAATAGTCTCCTTGCAAATCCATAGCTTAGGGCCGTGATGGCAAACCTTTTTTGGCTGCCATGCCAAAAGCGGGGGGAGCACAGGGGGGTTGTGCGCCGGCGTGCCACACCCATAATGCTATGCTTGTGACCCCCCCAGCATGTATATGCGTGTGATGAGTAACAACCCCCCCCTGCTTTTGCCATGTTTTTTTGCCCTCCCCAGGCTCCAGAGGCTTTCTAGGGGCCTGGGGAGGATGAAAACAGCCTCCCCCACCCTCCGGAGACCTCAGGATCATCCCTGAAGCCCCTGGAGGGCGAAAAATGGATCTACAGGGAACCCAGAAATTCGGGAATGGATAAGTTTTGCTAGAAAATAATAGTGCAATTACTTATTGTCTTTTTCATTGTAATAATTTTTTTGGAAATGATTTTGTTTCTTCCAAGTTTTATCAATTCCAGAATTTAGCCGTATTGCATATTTGACAAGTTAAATTTTATGTTAAATATCTAAACTGGGTGGATGGATACAAAAACAGAAAAATCAAGAGATTGCAAACTGTGCCTTTTTATTAATGGTTATCACTCTTACTTTATTTCTCTTTAATGTTACAATTTTCAGAAAGTAGGAAATCTCTTTTGACCAATGTAAGGGATGTCAAATATCTTTGCTTTCCCTACACTGCAGTATAAAGGAAGAAAAAAATAATCTCTCTGACCATTTTTCAGTTAGCTGAAAATTCATAGGAGACATATCAAGGGAAGGCTGGTTGCCATTGGTGACATTGTTTCAGGAGTCTTGTTTCAATTTTTTTCATTATGGTTTACCACCTAACCTTGTGTAACAAGCAAGCCCCACTGAGTTCAAGGTTATTTCTAAACAAATGTATATAGGACTGCAGCTTTCATTCATCTTCCTGTGTTTCCTACTGTAGAAGAATGCTATTTCTTCTGAAAGTACTATGTTAAATGCTTGAAAGTGAATAGCCTTTTTCTTAAACTTTGTTGGATGTGAATAGAACTGTGAAAGACGTAGGGCTCACTGATTTTTATTGTACGGTAAATTTTAGATTAAGCCAGCTTCCCACACTGTGTGTCTGAATTATAGAGAGAAAGGGAGGGAGGAAATGTATCACACTTCTTCAATCAGAGCATTCAAATTAGGAACATATTGTATCACTCTCTCAGGAGTAACTGGGAGAGATGCTTTCCTTTCCACAAAACTGGGTCCCTAAAAAAATGGTTTAACTCGCAAAGACAAATATAACAAATATTACTTGCCCTCCTATAAACCCACCTTGCTTCAGAAAATACCATATTTCCCCTGTCAACAGATAGTCCTCAGGTTATGACCACTTCTTCAATGTCCAAAGTTGTTACAATAGCACTACAGAAGTGGTACTTATGACCAGCCCTTGAGGTTTGGACCATCACTGCATGTTCCCAATTGCTGTTGAAACCAAATGTTACCTGTACCTTTATTCTTTTTTGGGGGGCGGGGGGCTTATAAGGACATTTGGAAGGCACCGAGTTCAGCATCTGTAATAAAATCTAAGGACTCTACTTGGTTTTCATAGATATTCTTGGCAATAAAATATTGGCGACTAGAGTTTATAAGTATGGCAGCCTCCTCTTTATTTCCTTTTAAATTAACAGATGTTTTAAATGTGGCAAAAAGCATGGTGAAGATAAAGATTTGCAGTTACTATTAATTGCATGCACCTTTCTCCTTTGTTAGAGATCTCAGTGGATTATACAAATAGTTCTCTATTTGCAACTGCAATTGAGCCCAACATTTCTATTGTTAAACACGGGAAAGTTGTTATGTGAATTTCTATTCTTCCAAGTTGTTAAGGGAATCACTACAGTTAAGTTAGTAATATGGTTATGAATTTTGTTGTGGATCCGGTTTCCCCACTGATTTTGCTTGTCAGACAGTCGCAAAAGATGATCACATGACTTTAAATACTACAACCAAAATGTGACCCTGGGGGATTCTGCAACAGTTGTAAGTATGAAAACTTATGTAAGTTGTTGTCTGTAAGCCGCCCAGAGTCCCCTGGGAGTGAGTGGCATACAAGTACCAATAAACTTCAAACTTTTTGTAAAACTTATGTAAGTAAGTCACTTTTTTTCAGTGATGTTGTATCTTCAAATGGCCACTAAATGAATGGTTGTAAATCGAGGACTACCTGTATAGAATTCCCTTCAACTTCCACCCTAGTCTTCTGATCCAAATCTTACTCCTTAGCCATGATAACATTACTGCTATATTACACCAGGCTGTGTGAGCACTTTGTCTTGAAAAGCATAACTAACTAGAACCAATGTATAGAAATGTATTGAAGAGAGAGCTCCGTTAAAAAAAAATTTTTTTAACTTTTTAAAATCTTTATGCATTTTCAGGTTTGGGGGGGGGGTGTCTACTTTTTATTTTTGCATATATCTATTAGACTAAAGGCAATGCAGACAAAACAAATCCCACAGATAGGAATTGTTTAAAAATAAATGTCCTTGATGTCTAGCAGACCTTTCTTAAGTTTTAGCAGGCAGAAGGAAGAGAGAATTTGTTTTAGTCTGAATGGTTTTTTTGACAGAATAACTACATAATATATTAGATATACTGGTAGTATGTCTTTATATTTCAAAATACATGGTTCATTTTCATCATGCAAGTAAGGAAATATACATTTTAGACATCAGTGCTCTACTACCAAATTCCCCAACATTTCTGGCTTTGCAGCAGTGGTGGGTTTTAAATTTTTTTACTAACAGTTCTGTGGGCGTGGCTTGGTGGGCATGGCAGGGGAAGAATACTGTAAAATCTCCATTCCCTCCCGATCAACTGGGACTCGGGAGGCAGAGAATAGATGGAGGCGGGACCAGTGAGAGGTGGTATTTACCGGTTCTTCGAACTACTAAAAATTTCCCCTACTGGTTCTCTAGAACTGGTCAGAACCTGCTGAATACCACCTCTGCTTTGTGGACTGGCCAGGGGAGGGGAGGAATAGAGGGAATAATTCTGTGTGAGTGATGGGCATGCATGCCTGCCACTCACACAAATGGAGTGTTCACATGTATTTTGCCCGCTACTCACACAAGTGGGGATGTGCTCAGGTGCACATTCAACTGCCACTTCTATAGACCGGTTCCGAACAGCACAAGGCCTGGTAGTGGGCTACAACCCGGGGATTAGGACTTCTGTTCTAGTATACTGATCAACTGTTATGGGATGAGATATATACCAATAAAGACCAACCAGCCAATTTATAGTGAAGCACACATGCTTTTAGGAAAGTTCTATATATTACTGGCAAAGCAAACTTTTATTCAGGTAAATGAAAAATATACATAGCCAATATGTTTAAAAGTATTTCACATAGTATAATAGGTAAAATATAATACTATCGCTGTAATATGTTGAATATGTCTAATATTCTAAGAACTATATTCTTCTATTCGCTATGCAATATAATGTGATATGCTTTTTGAAATGATTACCTTTCTGAAACCTGCTGAGTTACAAGTTAGTGACTACACACTTATTATGCTAGGTAAAATTATTGTTGTGGTAATCTCATATAGCACGGGTCACTACATTGAGTGACAATTTTAACTACAAAATGTATTACACAGAGTATGTGCCACAACTGAGAAAACCATATGGCCCATATCCCTCTTGGGTCAACTTCAAACTGAACCTGGCCGATGTCATCTTTTTGTTCCTCAGTTGCCACACAGAGAGGGAAGGGGGGGGAAGGAGGTTGGAGTGCATTATTAGACACAACAAAGAGCTTTCTCTGGAGATCCAAGGTCGTCTCTACTGGCAACAAATAAGGTTGGCGAAGGAGTGCCTGAAGAGCCTTCCAATTAACCCAATTGTTGAAAGTGACCTGTGACACTTGGGGATGGGGTAATTTCCTAGTTTAATTATACTGAAACCACAGAAAAGATTTAGATTTGGTTTTCCATTGAAGCTGTGCCGATATGATGTACTCAATAAATAAGACCATTGAGAAAGAGCCAAGTGTCAAGAGTTCTGATTTGCTTGGGTTTGTTAGTCAGAGCCTTGACATCTTGCTCATAACAGGGTTCGATCTTAAGCATCTATCCAGATGATGTAATAGGATGGACAGAATTGGTTTTTTTTTTAAACAAGGCTTCCCATAAGATAGCACAGTGTGGTATCCTATAGAGTTGTATGGATTATAACCAGAACTTTGAATTGGGCCTAGAAGTCTATTCCAGACTATAAAATAAGTGTTACTTTCAATGGTGGCCCCTGTCTGCCAGACATTGTAGCTTCTGGGTTGTCTTCAAAGGTGATTCCAAATGTATTCATTGCAGTAAAATTCACAATTCCGTTGTAAGTTATAACTGGCACATCATCTAACACTGCACAAAGGCTACATTGACAACACTATTATGGACTTGCTCCTTCACAGAAGAGTGACTCCATCCAGAGTCACAGCTATAACTAATATTTCAGGGAGGTCTAAATGTTTATGGATGAGCAGCAATTCTGACTTGCTGGGATTTAGCCTGAGCTTGTTTCTTCCCATTCAGCATGCGACACTCTTGAAGCACCAGTTTGGCAGCAGAAATATAGTACATAACTGAACATCATCACACATTGATGATACCTCATTCAGATCCATCCAGTGGTTTCTTTCAATGGTTTCACATAGATGCTAAATAACATAGTGTCCCATACTTGAATAATTGTGCTAGGTAACTATTCCCCTATGATTATGAAGAGTGGAGCCTCTAAAAAATGGTCCTCTGACCATTTGAGTAGGATA